ATTTGGGAAAATAGTCTCAATGAGAGATTGTCTAATTGGGTTGGCCTGGGGGCATGTCCACAAGAAATTGTTTTAACATTGTTAACTGATTCGGGAAGAACCAACCCATTGTGGGTGGCACCATTCCCTAGGAAAGAGATTCTGAATTATCTGAGGTGAAGTAATCAAGCACAAGAAAGCAAGCAAGTGAACATGTAGTCATTCATTTCTCCTGCTCTTGATTGTAAATTTGGTGTGACTAGCTATCTTAAGTTCCTGTAACCAGAATTGTAAAGTAAAACAAAACTTTTTTTCCCCTAATATCATCCCACTTGGGGTATTTCATCGCAGCAGCAATAGTCAACCTAGGAAACCAGCCAATATAATGATGTGAGAAATACTATTTAAAGCCAGTGGGCTCTGGGAGTTCATTAGCTGGCTTATATAACATTTCTGAAGGAAGACAAAAGATGAGATTTTTAAAAATGAAGGTGTCAAAGTCAGATTATGAGGGTCATTCTCTATTCTGTGCTTTCTGTGGTTAGCATTTAAATGCTATCCTGCAGTCACTAGAGATCCAATCAATTTCTTGTGAAAAATAAATTAGTTAAGTGTCTGGGTAAAAAAAAGAAAAAAAGTTTTACTAGGAGTAAGACATAAAGGTGTAGGTAAATGCTGATGGTGGCCTAACATGAGGCCCAAATAATAGAAATAATAGAGGCACAAATAATATTCCTTAATAATCTTTATTCTCCATTATTTAAAGTTACCTTAAAGAGAAATATTAATTTGAGTAAGTTTCAAGTTTTTAACTGTAGGAGAGGATCCATCTTCAATAAACTGGAATTTAGATGTGTCTAGAAATATCAGAGAAAATCTGATGGGACAGACTCCCAGCATCTTATTTTCAAGAATATTGAGAGTCACTCGGTTAACATTTAGGGAATTAAGGAGTTAGTCATGATGAGAGAACCTCACAAGAAAGCCTGGGTCTTAACAAAGGGAACAATGAAACAGCACTTGAGCAGTTGCTTCCAAGCTCCTCTTAACACAGAATTTCAGTTGTACTTCTACTTAGCACTTACACTGTGAAATATGCTTCTAGGATCAATCACCCTAGTTATTCAGATTTAGTCATCGGTTACACAAATTTCAGTGAGCTGCTTGGGTCACTCTGGTGTTCTTCTCCAGAATCCCAAGAAACCAGTTGCAAATGACGAAGGAAGCATCTCTCCTCTCTCGTGACTCCCACGTCTAAAGTCATCACCAGTCCACAGTGAAAGATTACCCAGTAACATATTTCTTTGAATGTTTCCTTACTATTGGCATATAATGTGAGTGTTTGTGTGCAAGTGGGTGTGTGGAGATGTGAGGCTGAAGAGTCACAGACTTCGATTACAGACTACAAAGAGAAGTGATTATGTAGCAAAGTCCCTGTCAATGCCCGTGAATAAAATATTGGAGGTAGGAAGTGTCACACTAGTGTTTCTGAAATGTTTTGCATTTCTTGGGAATCTGCAGTCTTATTCCATTGTTGGTCCCTGTTTAAAGTCTTTGGGGACCCCTTTGAGCACACAAGTCATGATGAATTAATCAGGGTTAGTAATTAGAAAAATAAAAATTGAGAACAGGGATATTGCATGCCTTTATTACCAATATAGCAGAAAGTTCAAGGAAACAAAACCCTCATTTCAACCTGGCACAAAGGCAGCTCTAAAAAGAAAGACAAAGCTGACTGATCTCCCTGTACCCTATAAATTCAAAATACCAAGATCCCTAATCACAGCACTGTAGCAAAATAGCAACACCAAAACAAAACACTAAGCTTGTTTATAAGTTGCTAGAAATGGCTGAAAATTCAAATTTAAAATAAAATTCAAGATAATGAGATACTACCAGCTTTTAAAAAAAAAATGTGGCTTGGTGTCCGTTGCTCTTACAGATTGCTTAGCTTCTCTACTCTGATGATATATTTGTCACATTGTGTTTTGTAAGGATCTATCTTACAGTTCACAAGGTTGCCTGGACGTTATTCTTGCTCTTCCTGGCTACGTGTGGGACTGAGATCCCACACAAGCAAGGGTTTAGCATCCAGTGAGGACTAGGGCGACAGTGCAGTAACTGTTCGTGTACACCCTAAGAACAATCAGAACCACTCTGTCAGCACCGGCACACTTAGTCCCATGACAAGGGAACCAGTGAAGGAACAAGTTAAAATAGGAAGGTGCGTGCCTCAGGAGGTAGCCCAACGGCAGAGTTCTTGCCTAGCATACAAAGTCTCTGGGTTCAATCCTCAGATCTTCAAAAAAAAAAAAAAAAAAAAAAAAAAAAATATATATATATATATATATATATATATATATATATATATATATATATATCATTTTTAAGTTCAAATCAGTAGAACATAATCAACTATAAAACTTAAAAAATATTCCCTGTGAATCAGAAAACATTTCAAAGACGCAAGTCCTCAGCATGGCTCTTTCTGGGACAGCGTTACTTAAACAAGTTTAACTTTTTCTGTGTACCAACTACATTTTTTTGTAATTTCATGGGATTAAATGTTTTCAGGTAGATTTAAAAATAAAAGTGCCTCAGCTACTCTATCCTGTGTGACAAGTTTCAGTGGCAATTTCTAATTTCTTGCCTTTAGCTTAATATTTTCTCAGTTAAAGAGAATCTAAAAAGTCTGTGTGGAAGAAACAAGTGTCTTAAACAGCATTAACTGAGAGGCAGTGCTCTTCCCATTGTGAGCAAATGCATGAAAGAAAGTTTACTTTGGATGTGATTTAATAAGAAGCTCAAGGTGTATTCTACAAGACAATTATTTATTTTTGTGACTTACTATTGCAATGCATGTAGTGAGTCACCAGTGGATAAATGGCTAAACAAAAGGGCCTATTAAAAATAACAACAAACACGGCTAAGCTGACAAGAGAGTGTCATGTAAATATTTTCTTATTATTTTACCAATAATTCTGCAAAGTAGTCGTTTCTTACATAAAATAAAAAGCCAGAAGGAAAACAAGCCATATAGTTCCTTGTATAAAACCTCAGAAAGGTTTAGGAATTGGAGATCCCAAACTGCAGGAAACAGCCTCCTCAACTGCTCCCTCCATGAAGCCAAGTAGCTTCTCTCTCAACAGAGCAGGAACCAAGACTTCAGCATAAAGCAAGAAGCTAAAAACTCGACCTCCATGAAAAAAAAAAAATTACTGAATTTTATATCTAAAGCCACAGACATCAGAAGACAGAAAGAACCACTTCCAAAATTCAGGGTAAAGTGATTTACAATCTATAATTCTACCACCAGCCAACCAATTATTTTAAGGGAGACAGAATAACGAAATTTTAAGTTGTGAAAATCTAACATACATATACACCACACACACACACACACACACACACACACACACACACACTTCCCACATCTCCTGCCTTCCCAGGAGATCAATAAAAGAGGAAGATGCAGAAAATAATTCATGAAGTTAGACAGCAGACCTGAGCTAACTAAGCAGCAAGCCAGAGACCAAATCTGGCTGAGACCAAAGGCTCAAGAGAAATATGTCCATGGAAGGATGGAAAGTGCACCTGGTGTGCCCAGATGCATTCAGAAGACAGTGTCACTGTCTTCAGTGACAAGCCTGTGATGTGCACATAGGAAACCAAGCAATAAGAGGAAAAAAAAAAAAAAAAAACTTTGCAACCATTAATCCAGAAGGAAAACCAATTACTTGAGAAATGAAATGTTCCCCACAACATCTGCCTAACTATAGCACTTCAAACACAAATATGCAAACTCACTGTATTAGAAAAGTAGGAAAGTCTGTGCACCGTGGCAACGGGGGTGGGCCATAGCGAAGGTGACAAACTGGCAAGCTCCATAATGGGAGAGCAACAGATTCTGTCGGAGGGAGGGAGAAGGAGAAGCCCGCAGTAGCAGAGCAGGGTGTTGCAGGCCTGCAAGCCCTGCTCAGGAGGCTGAGGAGGAGACTCGTGAGTTTAAGGCCAGCTGGAGCTACATGAGATCCTGCCTCAACATGTTCCCAGAAAGAATGGAAAATAACTCTCCGCGATAGTCCATGATGTAGAAATGTGAAGTTATATAAAAATTGCAATAGCTAACCTTTTGAAAAGCAGCTATCTGCAGAGGGCAGGGAGCAACAGGAGGAGCAGAAGTTTAACAAGGAAGTTAACAAAGAGCTGTTTTTATAAGCCTGGTACTATGTCAACTTTTCAAACGAGGTTTATGTATTACTTTGAACAAGATTAAAAATAAAATGTAACAAAACATAAACATAAAAAAAACCCATTATATCTAATGCTTATGGCGTCTTTAATCGTTCTGTCTCCCACCTCAGTAGGTCTTCTTTCCCCTCAGCACATAGAAGTGGAGTGGGAGACCAGCAGGAGGGACCAGGAGGCAGGGAAGACCACAAAAAAGCATGTATGTATAGACATGGGCCATGAGGAGGCAGCCCACACGCTTCACACACTAACTCTCACAATAACTGGCAAAAGGAAAAGGGAATCGCTTTAATCTTGTTCGTTTGAAACGTTTCTACCACAGCCATTCTAGTTGTGACGCATTCTGTGATCTGATCCTCAGCCAATCCTCAGTCTGCTAACCCATGTGAAGTTTGAACCACATGAGGCAAATCTGTTCTTTAACCTGTAAACACGCTAACTGCATGTAGTTCACCTTAATGGCTCGCTGTCATCACCACTACCAAATGCTGAGCCCGTCCCTCAAATGTCTCCAGCTATCTAGCGTTTACTGTGCAGCCTGCTCTGTAGCCCCAGATGCAGTTCAGACATCCGGCCGTAACCCTCGCTCCCGCCAGCCGATGGAGGTCCTGCCTCTCGTAGGGCGCCCCTTCTGAGGTGTGCGTGGTGCTGTGTCACTCAGCGTTTCCCAGCGCTCTCAGAATCTCGATGGAGCTTCTTGCTACTGCCCGCCTCCCTTCAGGTTTTGAACCCTTGGCCTGCGCCCAACTCTATGCGTGAATCTAACTTACCCAGATGTTTCTTCTACACAGACAGAGAAATCTGAGAGATTACACTTCTCTGGCACCTTTAAAATAGTTAATAACCACTAATTACAGAAAATTTCAGTATTTTTATTAATGAACTAGGAATTAATCATAATATTCAAGTTTTTTCTAAAGCCAACCCCTTGACAATGTTTACTTAAGTCTCAAATGGGACAGTGACAGTAAACTCTAGCCAGGTTATGAACTGTAGTGACAACAGAGAAAGAACACAGGGAGAGACGCAGGTAGAAAGAAGAGGGCATGGCAGAAATTCGCTTCGCAAAAATACAATGAACCTGTGGGCAGAACACCACTCTCCATTTTCCATAAGAAGAAAAAAAGGCTAAAACTAGACCTTAAAGCTGAGCCTCAGAGGATATGTGGACACACTATTAGCACTTCTATTTGTTTTCTGTAGAACTGTCATTAACTTTTAAAAGTTGTCCAACCAGTTCTCAAACCCGTGCCCCCTCCAACAAAAGCTTAATTAGTTTTGGTTCTTTGTTTAAACTGACAGCTGTGGTTCAAAAATCCCCCAAGGTCAGCACTATAGTTTGCATCTTAAAATAATCAAATGGCCTAAAGCTTTTTCTGTGGTTCTGAGATTGCTATTTTTCATTTTGATTTGCAAAGGAACTGGGCCATAGGTTTCTGCCCTAAATATGCCTTATTCAAATACAAAAATGTTTTCACAGCATCCGAACCAATAAGGACAGAAAATGGAAAAGGTAGTTACTTTTCATCTATCCACTGTGCAGATATCTACCAACCTCAGGGCCTGGCAGAGGGCTTGGGAAGCAGGACCAAAGCAAAGAAGCCTAAAGCATGTCAGCCAAGCCTGAGGTTGGAGGGGGAGCTCACATTTTCCCATAGGAAGGCTTCCAAGGCCCTGCCTCTGAGGCTATTTACTCTCACTTTACAAATAATATTGCCAGGTTTATTTATCTAGCTTCTAAGCCTGAGGCAGAACAGAAATAAGATATTAGGAGGAGAGCTGTGGGAGAGGAGCTACTTGCAGCATACTAAAAAACTGCCTGCAAAACAGACAGCTGCCGCATAATGGGAAGGAGGAAACAAATTACAAAAAAAAAAAAAAAAAAAGGAAACAAAAGAATTCAAGGCACAGCTCAATGAAAGGGTGAGGCAGACACTTTACTCACCAATAGCATCTTGGAGTATCACAACATACTGCAGAATAGCATAAAGAAGTGACAACCAAGAAAGGACACCCGTGTCCTCCATTCTCAAGCAAAGTGTTCTCCCAGCACTCCTTCTGGGACACACTTATAGAGGTTAAGGAAAGGCAAGGGAGAATAGGATTCATTCACTTTGATGGAAAAAAAAAGGCATAGACCCTTAATTATCCAAGAAGAAGAAGAAGAGGAAGAAGAAGAAGAAGAAGAAGAAGAAGAAGAAGAAGAAGAAGAAGAAGAAGAAGAAGAAGAAGAAGAAGGAGAAGAAGGAGAGAAAAAAAAGGAATGGTAGAGTAGCGCCTAGTACACCTAGTGCAGCTGTCATCCGAGAGGCTTCTTCCATCAACTGATGGGAGCAGATGTAGAGACTCACAGCCAAACATTAGGCAGAGCTTTGGAATCCTGCAAAAAAAGGAAGATGAAGGATTGTAGGAACCCGATGGGTCAAGGACACTAGAAAACCCACAGAATCAACTAACCTGGGTTCACACAGGCTCACGGAGACTGAACTGGCAATCACAGAGCCTGCATGGATCTGACCAAGGCCCTGTGCATAGATATGTTATGGTCGTCTAGCTTGGTCTTCTTGTTAGACAACTAACAATGAGAGTAAGAGCTTTCTCTGACTCTTTTGCCTACTTTTGGGACCTTTTCCTCATACTAGGTTGCCTCGTCCAGCCTTATTACTTTGGGAGGTGGCTAGTCTTCCTGCAACTTGATATGCCATGTTTGCTTGATATCCATGGAAGACCTGCCCTTTGTTGAAGACAAAGAAGAAGTGGACAGGTGGGGCAGAGGGGAGGTAGGGAGAAGGGACTGGGAGGAGAGGAGAAAGGAGAAACTGCAATCAGGAAATCATCATCGTCATCATTGTCATCGTCATCATCCAATCCAACATCTTGTACTTTAGTGAAAAAATGAGGCCTAAAGTGTTTAGTTATAGACAGGAGCTGTCAAACTAAAACTAGTGTGTCAGTCAATTTTCTGTCTATTGTCTTTTCCTGGAAGTGTTTTACATGAGTAAGATGTACCGTTTTAGTACACCTCCTCAGGAGAACTCTTGTAAAATACAATGGGAACAAAACAATCTTTCATGGTGAAAAAAAAAAAAAAAAAAAAAAAGCATGAGCTGGATTCTCAAAACTGTTTTTTTTCTATCTTTAAAAACATCCTAAGCTATCTTTACTATCTGTGCAACATTAATGTTCCCTCAACAGGAAATGTATTAAAGAAATGTATCTAAAAAACAAACAAATAAAAACTCAGTACCAACTATAATTACTCAATAGTGAAGGATTCACAAGCCAGCAATAAAAATTAATTTTAAAATCCAATTGGGAGATGTTGTGCTGAGCTGTTGACCTTAAGTTGTAGGAGAGTTTCAAATATATGCTCAACAGTAGGGAACTGAAGGGAATCCCAGAGCCTGGAGTCTGCTCCCCCACTGTATGTGGCAAACCAGCTGTTTCGCTGAGCTCCTTGTTTTCAGTCTTGTCTCTGAGGACACGAAGAGACAGCTGTGGAGTGATGAGTCCCTACAACCTCCCACCGCCATTCTGCCTTTGCTTAGATTGCTCCCTGTGGGCACATGGCCAAAGGTAGAAGGAATATAAGCAATACTGTGGAATACAAGCAATAAAAAAGGTTCTTTCTGGCGCTCGGGTTTCAAGGAAACCTGACAGGAACCCAACAGAAGGAAGAAGAGAAAAATCTGATTTCAGATGGGAAAAAAAGGTGAGCTTGAGTAATAGTTCCTCCTCCCCCTCTGAATTGAATTCTTTGGCCAGAGTAACTGGCAGGGAAATGATAAATGCATAGATTCTATTGAACCCCTGGGATAAGGGATTCTACCGAGCTCTCAGGAGCTACCTCTGAGATGCCATCTCCCTATCCAAATTCCTCCATTCCTCAAATACCACAGGGACACCTCTGCCTTGGAAATTTCCAGGTACCCTTCGCTCTGCCTGGAACAATCTTCTTCCACTCATAAAGCATATGCCCTGCCCTCGTACTTCCTTCAGATGTATACTCAAATGACTTGGTCTCTTAAGAGATTTTCTTGACCATTTTATTTAAATGAATTTCAAGCCCCATCATTCTCTGCCTCTCACATCCTAAAAGTAATTTTCTTTAACTCATTTACTATAATACAGTGCATCAGCAATTTATCTATTCTATCTACTCTTTCCAGATTTGAGGCCTAAAAAAGCAGGGACTTCATTTGTTCACTTCTGTTTCCCAGTCTGGCCAAAATCTTCCATGACAGGAATACAATAACACGAGTGGATTAAAAAAAACAAAAACAAAAACACTTCATTATAGACAGTGCAGTAGGAGTCCTTCCCAGCTCAGGCTCTACAGATGTGCTTTCAAGTGTGTGGGATATTAAACTCACAGCAGTGGTTTCCTCTGAAAACAGTTTCCACTGCGAAAAAGTCCTGGAAAGTCTTTGAACTTTCAAACTAGTTAAAACACAGTGGTGCAATAATAAGCAAGGCTAATGGAGAGACAGAGAAACACCCTGGTACTCACTGCTGAGGAAAATGTGGCTCCTTCAACGTAACGGGGTTTGGTGCAGCAATATGTACAAAAAGCCTTTAAATACGAGGCAGGTTTTTAGTGTGTGCTGCCTTGTGTGTGATAATTCTGGAGCTGGAGAAATTTAGCCCTTATCAATACCCCAGATTCTTGAAAGCATATCTACAGAGCCTCGGTTGGAAAGGAGCTACAGGAATCTAATTCAAGTATGCACAGCAGTTAAGTGTACTTGAAGCTCCTTCAAAGGACCAGCTTGGCTCCCAGCATTCACATTAAGTGGCTCATAAATGCTTGTACCTCCATTTTCAGGGGATCTGATACTCTTTTCTGGCTTCTATGAGCACCCAGGCACTCAGGTTGGAGCGAATGAATGTGTGCATGTGGACCAACACATTTTTTAAAGATAATTTTGTCCCCACAGAACTGTATAGCATTACTAACTCCATTGTATAGATGAGAAAACTGAGGTACCCACAAGTTAATAAACTTTCCCCAGTAACTCATCCCCCCTTTTTCACAATAATAAAATGCAAACTTTACACATGGCTTCTCACACAATTATATTATTTTTCCTCTTCTTTGGGAGCTACGTGAGCTTGCATGCCGAAATTAGGGTCAATAAAATATAAGCCAAAATTGCAAGCAACTCTGGGCATGTGTTTCTCTTTCTCAATGGCTTCCTGCCAGCAAGAATGCAGATGTGATAAAGATCTAGAGCAGCCATACTGGACCTTCAGATGACCGTGGGAATAAGCTGATACCTACCTCCCTCGCAAGAGGGGGGTAGGTATCAGCGGACAGGAATCTAGATCCTGACCCTGCCAGATGCCATATCTTTCCTGCACTACCTTTTTACAAGAAGTTTTTTTTTTTTTTTTTTTTTTTTTTAAACAAGGAAGGAATAAACTTTGCTGTAGTCTAAGGCACTGTTACTGTGGGTTCCCTGGTGATCTGGATCTGTGAGCTAACCAGGACTAGCTACATCAGGCCCGCCACTTGCTCCCAGCTCCTTTTTAACATAGTGTTTGGCTAAACTGATTTCACTTTATATGAGTACAGTTTCTATGAATTATGCATTCCATTTGGCATTTTCAAAACTCCTCTTGTAAACGCATTTTTACTGTCTCTTCTTTTTTTTTCTGTCTCTTCTTTTTAACCCCAAAGAGTAACAAGACAGTCATACATAAAATATCTGTTATTATAATAATATTCAATAATCACTTCCCAGAATAATTGACTGCCAAAGACAATGCAACGAGGCAAATCTCGATAACATAATAAAAACAATGAAAATATCTCAGCTGACTCAA